AGACTCAGGTTTCACCCATAATCTCTGCAGATGACTCACTTTCATCCTTTTTATGGCTAAGTAGTATTCAAAAGTGTATACATACCACATCTTCTTTATCCATTCATCTGTCAATGAACATTCAGGTCATGTCCTGGCTATTGTAAATAGTGCTGCAGTGAACACTGGGATGCATGTGTGTTTTTGAATTATGGTTTTCTCAGGGTATATGCCCAGTAGTAGGATGCAGACTTATAGAGAACGGATGAGTGGACTTGTGGGGGAGGTGGGGTGGGATGAATTGGGAGATTGGGGTTGACATAGATACACCACCATGTATAAAACAGATAGCTAGTGGGGACCTGCTGTATAGTGCAGGGGGCTCAGCTCAGTGCTCTGTGATGACCTAGAGGGGTGGGATGGAAGTTCAAGAGGGAGAGGATATGTGTATACATGTAGCTGATTCACATTGTTGTTATAGCAGAAACCAACACAACATTGTAAAGCAGCTACACCCCAAGTAAAAAAAAGACCTTATCTGCAAAAAACAATCCCGTTCTGAGGTTATGGGAGTTAGATCTTCATATGAATTTGGAAAGGAGCACACAATTTAACCCATAACACTCCCCTTTGCTCATGTAACTCTCCATACATTAATGTGCTGTGCTCAGTACAAGAATACTGGAGTGGGTTACCATTTCCTACTCCAGGAGATCTTCCCTACCCAGAAATTGAACCCGCATCTCCTGTATTTCCTGCACTGGCAGGTGGATTCTTTACCACTGAGCCGTCTGGAAGCCATATCCTTTAGCTAAGCTGCTGCTGCTTGAGGGTTGACATTCTCAGTTTCTTTGACTTTGACTTTTTATTCCACTATATGGTCACCAAACCTATCACTGTGTTATTTTCCCATAGAGACACTTTCATTTATTATTATTTTTTTTCCATTTATTTTTATTAGTTGGAGGCTAATTACTTTACATCATTACAGTAGTTTTTGTCATACATTGAAATGAATTAGCCATGGATTTACATGTATTCCCCATCCCGGTCCCCCCTCCCACCTCCCTCTCCACCCGATCCCTCTGGGTCTTCCCAGTGCACCAGGCCCTAGCACTTGTCTCATGCACCCAGTCTGGGCTGGTGATCTGTTTCACCCTAGGTAATATACATGTTTCGATGCTGTTCTCTTGAAACATCCCACCCTCGCCTTCTCCCAGAGTCCACAAGTCAGTTCTATACATCTGAGTCTCTTTTTCTGTTTTGTGTATAGGGTTATCGTTACCATCTTTCTAAATTCCATATATATGTGTTAGTATACTGTAATGGTCTTTATCTTTCTGGCTTACTTCGCTCTGTATAATGGGCTCCAGTTTCATCCATCTCATTGGAACTGATTCAAATGAATTCTTTTTAGTGGCTGAGTAATATTCCATGGTGTATATGTACCACAGCTTCCTCATCCATTCGTCTGCTGATGGGCATCTGGGTTGCTTCCATGTCCTGGCTATTATAAACAGTACACTGATGAAAGAAATCAAAGAGGACACAAACAGATGGAGAAATATACCGTGTTCATGGATTGGAAGAATTAATATTGTCAAAATGGCTATACTACCCAAAGCAATCTATAAATTCAATGCAATCCCTATCAAACTACCAACGGTATTTTTCACAGAACTAGAACAAATAATCTCACAATTTGTATGGAAATACAAAAAACCTCGAATAGCCAAAGTAATCCTGAGAAAGAAGAATGGAACTGGAGGAATCAATCTGCCTGACTTCTGACTCTACTACAAAGCCACAGTCATCATTTATTATTTTATCCACTAAAATGTCAGGTCCAAAATGACACAGGCAACTGGATTGTTGTCTCCCTACACCTGGTGAAACTAACTATTGGCATAGCATTTCATGCGTTATGTGTTTTGGTAACTGTCTTGTACAATAACTCTTAGTGACTTTGAAAACAACCAAAATTCTTGGACATTGTAAACTATTGTTATATAACCTTTTGTTTTTAGTAGTTGTTTCTTTGAGGCAAAGTGTAAAATCTTGTGTTTATGAATGGTTTGATAAGGATAAGGACATGAACAGTCTGAAGGCAGACAACTAGAAATAATACATCCAGCTTGTCAGCCTTCTATTGATCAAAGCCTTTGAAGACATGGTTTAATCAGGCAAGAGTCTAGCTAATTACATTATCATTTTATGTGTGTGCTCAGTCACTCAGTTGTGTCTGACTCTTTGCAACCCATGACTGTAGCCTGCTAGGCTCCTCTGTCCATGGAATTTTCCAGGCAAGAATACTAGAGTAGGTTGCCATTTCCTGCTCCAGGGAATCTTTCCAACCCAGGGATTGAACCCACGTCTTCTGTATCTCCTGCATTGGCTAGCAGATTAGGCCCATGATACTCCATGTTACCTTGGAACCAAATGTCAAGTACCTTATCATTCACATACATAGCTCTGTGTCAGTGTTTCCCAAAAATGTGTCTCAAGGAACACCTGATCCTACGGAATTTTCCAGTTAAGAGTGATCAAAAAAATAGTTCAAAGCAGTATGACTATTCTTTCTTGAAAATGACTAAGCTACATTGTCACATAAAAAGCTATTAGGTATTCTAGGGTAAAGAAACATGTTTACCTTTACATAACACAGTGCCTTATAAACTAATTTGACATGGAGCTTTTGGTGGCTGAGTGGTAAAGAATCTGCCCACAATGCAAGGGACACAGGTTCCATTGCTGGGTTGGAAAGATCCCTGGAAAAGAAAGTGGCAACCCACTCCAGTATCTTGCCTGGGAAGTCTCATGGACAGAGGAGCCTGGCAGGCTACAGTCCATGGGGTTGCAAAGAGTCAGACACAACCGAGTGACCAAACAACATCCACAGAACTAGTTTCTAAGCAATGTACTTTTTGTTTGTTTTCAAATGTTTTATTTATTTATTTGGCTGCATCAGGCCTTAGTTGCAGCACTTGGGATATTCAGTCTTTGTTGTGCCATACAAGATCTTTAATTGTGGAATGCAAACTCTTGGTTGTGGCATATGGGATCTAGTTTCCTGACCAGGGATCGAACCCAGGTCCCCTCGACTGGGAGGATGGAATCCCAGTCACTGGACCAGCAGACAAGTCCCTGTGCAATGTACTTTGGGAAACACTAGTCTCTAAGCTGAGCTGTTTTACCAATAGTGTTTTTTTGTTTGTTTGTTTTTTGTTTTTCATAGATTTCACTTAGTCTCCTTGTAGCCAAGAAAATGCCAAAACATTCCTTCAACAGTTTTCTCTCTGTCCTCTGGGCCTATCTTTTTAATTTTATTTTTTAATTTTCTTTTATCTTTCCTTTTCTCTCCGTTTTGCACATATATAGCACTTCCATTAGTTTCCTTAGAAACATGCAAATGGCAGATCATACAGGCTATTGGAACTCAGCATCGGGCTGCATACTCCATGTGGGGTCTTGAGCAATGTGAGGTAAGAGGTTGTGATTAAAGTTTAGAGGATGATCAGACTGCTGGGGGCAACTAGAGTTGGCGTTCAGTCATAATAGAAGGCATGGCCAAATTGCCAGTGCTTGAGGTCAATGAGGAAGGAAGGAAGAGAGAAAATCCCAGGAAATATTTACTCTGCACTGGACACTGTACTATGTTCAGGCCATTACAAACAAATAATCCACATTTCCGTAGAGTTCTTTGGCCAATGGGAGAGGTAAATAGGTAAACAAATATAAGTCAGGGTCATATAAATATTATATAAATGTGGGTTTAAGATGTTATTGAAACAAAAGAGAAAAAATATGAACTCTGTCCAGAGAGACTCACTCTTGCCTCCATTTTCAGCCTTAAATATAAAAGGACTTTGACAGTGTCAGTGATTGAGACTCCATCAGAAAGGGTAAGGACTCATATAGTTGCATATCTCCAGTGCACTCAGCATCCCACCTGAAAACTTTGTGTCTGAGTCAGGGAGAGTCAGGAAGCACAGGGTCAAGGAACCAGCAAAGATAATGTCGTAAAGCCCCTAAAAACAAAGACTTCCTGGTTTGATGACTCTGAATAGTGATTCTGCTTAATTAACTGCCAGTTTCCGGTATTTGGCATGTGAATGACCCTTTACAGTTCACAGACTGCATTTATACATCCTAATCTCAACAATCCTGCAAGATTGTTCAGACTGTCCCAATTTATAGATGAGGGAAAAGCAGTTCAATGAGACCAAGTCATACATAGGACATCCCATGATAAGTGGAAGGAAAGATGAACTCCCCACTTGTTCAGACATCAAATCCATTTTTTTTTGAAATTGAGGAAGTGTTTGAGAGTATAAGAGAAATAGCAGAGGAAACACTTGTTTAATAATAATATTCCCAAAGGTATGCGATAAGAGGGGGGGCAGCTGAAGAACATGGAGTGGAGACAGTCCCTAACCTAGATAATAAAGGAAGAGCTTCATGAGAACTTATTCTTTCAAAAGTTCAAAGTAATCTAAGGGCAGACATATTCCAATAATAGTCCCCAAGTAAGGAGCAACCCTATTTTTATTTAGAAAAGTGAATTGTCTGAAGGTATTTTCTAAGCTGCAGAGAAAGCTCCATCTGCCCTCTGCATCAGCTCAGGTGCAGTCAGGGCCATCAGCTCCTAGTCACCCACTGTGACTCAGTAGGTAGATGTCCTCTCCCACCCAGAGCTGAGTGATCAATGGACGATAAGTTATCCTTCATACCATGTTACTTTAAAAAAAATTTTTTTAAATCTTTATTGGTGAATGGTTGCCTTACAGTGTTGCATTAGTTTCTAATCTACAGCAAAGTGAAGCCACTGTATGTATACATAGATTCCCTCTTTTTTTTATTTCCTTCCCATTGAGGTCACCACAGAGCTCTGAGTGGTGTTCTCGGTGCTATCATCATTAATTATCTATCTTATACGTAGTATCAATAGTGTTTTTATGTCAGTACAATCTCCCAATTCATCTCATCACCCAGACTTTCCCCCTTGGCATCCATACCTTTGTTCTCTACATCTGTGTCTCTCTTCTGCTTTGTAAATAATATCATCTATGCCAGTCTTTTCAGATTCCACGTGATAGCAAAGAGAAACCAGGATGTGAGTGCCTATGGCTGGCATCTCAGGCTCCATCAATTCTTTTTATCTTTTCATTGAGAAATGATGTAAAAAGAGAGCATGCAATAGAGGTGAGTTAACGTAACCTTTCACAGCCTCTTGCCTATCCCATCTTCCTCCTCCCTCTCACATTCTCTGTATTCTTGGCATAATTCTTTCCCAACAGCTCCCTTGAGCACCTTTCTGCTCATTATTTTATTCTACCTGCCTAGATAAATCTCCAGATGATTCACTCCCTCTAAAACCCACCTACTCGAACATTGTCAGGGGATTCCTGCAAAGAACAATCAAGCATTTGCCTGGAGGACTAGTGGACTAGATTTCTTCTGTTTTAATTTACAACATGAAATAAGGAGCTTAATCTACACCAGGCCCCTGGGAACCCCACTTAATAGACTGTGCATCAGGGAACTTTCCACAGACTGCTTTGGAAGATGTCTTCCATGCTACTGGAATATTCTCTGGCCAACAAACTGGTTGCTGATGTCTATTTCATGCCTCAGTGGCTTCTTGCTGTTGACCTGGGTTCATTCTCTCATTCAGCTTATTGAATACTTTTTATGAGACAGGTTGCTATCAAAAGGCTGTTTGTACCTTCATCAGAGGACAGAAGGACGGGCATATAGTATATAATTCATCCATTTTTCTTAGTCCTCAATATTTGTGAACAATTGTTCAGACAGGTCCATAGGAGGTCCATCACATAGTGATGTGGCCAGAACACCCTGCAAGAAAAAAGATGAAAGAAAATAACTTTCTCCTTCTTAAGCATGGTCCAGTCTTCAAAATTCACTGAAAATAGGAGCTGATGCTTTCTGTGGAGAGCTATTGGAGCTGATGCTTTCTGTGGAGAGCTATTGGAGATATAGACAGAATGAAAAGTCGTCCTCAGAAAGACATAAGATAATCCTTTAAAGCAGTACTTCTTCTACTTGAACAGCATTTAATGTCTTTTTAGAGGAAAACAACTGTTGTGTAGCCCCATGTTGACACCAATTTATTGTATTTTAATGTTTCTTAGATATATATAACCATTAAACTAAGCGTAAACTCCTTATGCATATTAACCCTTAAGCAATACAGTCAAAATTAATTTGCAAATAAAGCTAAACTAATACTGGAATCATTAGCATTAGTTTAATATGACATATGACAACTTGGTAAAATTAATTTTTGCTCAGAATGTGACTGTGATTCCAAGTGCTATGGTGTATGTACTCGCTTTTAAGTTTGGTCTGCCTCTGTTGTCTCCTGTTACGCAATGACCCCATCCCTACAGTACTTCTGTGACAGTTCTGAGAAGCCACCACTCCTTTAGTATACATTGAAGCTCTCTGGCCTTCACTAGAGTGCAAGTGAATTCTACCTCACCCCCTTCTCATTGGTGAAACACACCACTTGGCTCCAACACAAATGCAATGGAGCTCTGGAATCACGCAGCAGTTGTCAATTCTGAGGTCTTTCAGATGCCCCAGGATATGCGCATGTGTGTTTTTTTAGATCATCAAACTGAAAATATAACATAGAAAATTTCTCATCAAGTACCATGTGTTAAATAGATAGCTAGTGGGAAGCTGCTATATAGCACAGGGAGCTCAGCTCAGGGGTCTGTGATGACTGAGAGGGGTGGGATGGAGGGAGGGATGTCTAAGAGGAAGAGGATACATGTGTGCATAGAGCTGACTCACTTCATTGTACAGCAGAAACTAACACGATGCTGTAAAACAATTATACTCCAACAAAAATTTTTTTTAATGTTATTTGACTTTCTAAGAATATGCCTCTAGCCTCCCACAGAGATTCCACATATTGCTGCTTGACAAATATGGCCAGAGAACCATCTGAATTTCTTCTGTCAGAGCCCATAATGACACAGGTCCTGTACCACTGTCCAGAAAGAGTTGGCCCTGCTTTCATCACAGAGATGGAGGTCAGGAGGGATGAGGAAAAAGGCATGGCTGCTCAGACTGAGCCATCTCCAGAATCTTCCAGATGGAAATTGGGCAGAAATTCAACTCATTTGGAATATTTTGCACTTGCCACAAATGGCTGAGAGACTATTATGATCTAACCCTGTGTAGGATGCTTTTATGGGATGTTATAAAAGAAAAAATACATACACACTGGCTAACAAGAGAGGCGGGATGACATAATGGCCTATTTCATCTGCAATTTCAGTGATTATATAAATGATGAATAAAATCCAACTACAAGTGCTTTTTTATTATCTTCTCGATGGGGTAAAATCTGAAAGCTTGACCCCTGGAAAGTAATAGCCTCTTTCAGATGTATCCAGATCTGGAATAAAGCTGGGGATCTGGACTTTGACCCGAAGCTCTTAAACAGAATGCGGCTTATCACTCCCCTGAGGGACAGAGAGAGTTTTACAATGAGATCATCTTACACTGGAGGAGTCCTATAGATGACTCTTAAAAGTCAATGGAATCTACCCCAAAATGGCTTCTACTGGGGGTGGCTGAGATATCAGATGGGCAGTACTGAGCTCTTCACCAGACGCCCCCTACCTTGCCCAGGATCTAGGAGAAAGGTAGAGGTCAGGCTTCTGATACTCATGTCCTGGAAGCAGGGGTTTCTGTCTCTGTCTTGAGGTCACTAGATAGAACAAGACCTGAGTCATTCTCTCTGAAAGTGTTTGAGCTCAGATCAAGTCTCTTGTTGTCAGTCATATCTCTTTGTGACCTCATGGACTGCAACATACCAGACTTCCCAGTCCTTCACCATCTCCCAGAGTTTGCTTAAACTCATGTCCATTGAGTCAGTGATGCCATCCAACCATCTCGTCCTCTGTCGTCCCCATCCCCTTCTCCTCCTGCCTTCAGTCTTTCCCATCATCAGGATCTTTTCCAATGGGTCAGTTCTTTGCATCAGTCGGCCAAAGTGTCGGAGCTTCAGCATCAGTCCTTCCAATGAATATTCAGGGTTGCTTTCCTTTAGAATTAACTGGTTTGATCTCCTTGCAGTTCAAAGGATTCTCAAGAGTCTTCTCCAACACCACAGTTCAAAAGTATCAATCCTTTGGCGCTCAGGCTGCTTTATGGTCCAACTCTCCCATCCATGCATGACTAGTGGAAAAACCATAGCTTTGACTATACAGACCTTTGTTGGCAAAGTAATGTCTCTGTATTTTAATATGCTGTCTAGGTTTGATCAAGTCCTAAAAGCCAGCAAACCAATTACTGAGCAAACTACCTAACCATGCATCACATTAGACGTCCTCTAGCCAGGGTGTCCAGAATCTGGGTTCTTTCCAATAGAATGGAATCTCTGGGGTAATACCCTTGCTGGTCTTCCATTCCTGGGGGAAGTCACTTTGTCATGTGTTGCTGAGCTTGTTTGTACCTGTTGTCTGTCAGGCATTTGTAGTTGAAACCAGCATCACTTTGGATGCTACCTGATTGAACCAAGATTTCTCTCAGTAACTTCTGCCTCTCTCAAAACTCACAAATCATCCATGTAACTTGGGGCTTTATCCCCTATCAATGGATTCTATTCAATGTGCACAGATAGGAGAAGGCAGATGAAAGCAACCTTTCCGGGTAGAAGTAGGCAGTTGAGAGAAAGTGTTTGCAGATCTCTCACACCTCTGATGGTGATACACAGCATCCATTAGTGAGACACCTAATCATCTGTAGCTGTCAAATCCAAACTGCCTTCTTTTAAGAGCCAATTTGTTTTCTTGCCAGATCAATGCTCTTATCTGTAATTGTGTGGACCACCAGCAACAGCCAATAACCAGTTAACATGCAATTCAATTTAGGAAGAAAAGAAATGTCTTAATTCAAGCATTCATTGTACAAGTGTGAAATGCCCTTGGTGAAATTAATGGTGACTGAGTGGCTTTAACTTGTAAATCAGTTTGCCTGAGTGGAGCAAAGTGATAGAAGGAAATAATATAGACTTTAGAACAGATGAACACAACTTTGCTCAGTCTTTTGATTTTTAACTCTGGGTCTGCTGCCATTACTATATTCTGTGGATAATGGTTGTCAGCATGCCTAGATCTTATCTAGTGTAACAGCTGGAACAAGAGTCCAAGTTGCCAGCGCTCCCACCAACCATAACTTCTCAACAGAAAGATGCTCTGCCGCCTACTCATCACTCCCTCCTCTACTCCAGTCTTGGTCCCCAAACAGTTGTCTTCAGATGTCCATTAATCCTATCATGAGACTCCATCCTCCATTTTTCCATTTGAAATGGATGCAAAGGAAGATTTCTACTTTCTGAGACACTCTTGTGTTGTACAGAGGCTGTGGCCTGATTCACAATTTTTTAAATAGCCAAATCATATCTCTGTACCATGGTCTAATACATTTGCTCATGAAGCATAACATCACTGAAAGTGCTCTAAGCAAGTAGAATTTTCCGTTGAAAATAGAGAATAGCAAGCTGTTTACGAAGCATGTATCTTCTTTTCCCTTGCCACATAGCCGGATCATACCCGCTCTTTCCTTTTCTGTTTGATGTGGCCATATGACTGAGTTCAAGCCAGTGGAGTCTGAACCTAAGTGAACCTTAGTGAAGATGGGCTTGAACGCTTGGTCCTAAGAAATCTTTCACATACCATTCTTCTTGTTCTTTCCTCTTCTAGTAACTTGACACAGATTAATAATGACAGTTTTGGAAGCCAAAGTGTTGATGATGGAATAGTAGATGGAAGAAATACGAGTCCTTGAATCACCATCTGGGAGAGAGTTAGGCATCAGTTAGGAAAACTTATTTTATCTTTTATCTGAAAGCAAAGTAAACTCTTTCGGTGTTTGAACCTTTATTGAATTTGGGGTTTACTTGTTACAGCAGCAAGCGTAAATGTCAATGATACAGTGTGTTCTACTGAATATAATGAGAAAGGAAAGTGGTATTTCAAGATTCCTAACAGTTTTAGGATATTTTTCTCCCAAAATGAGTGTTTTTAAAGAACAATAATAGCTTCCTTAGGTTTGAGATTCAAGTTCCTTGTCCGAGCAAAAAACAAGAAAAAAGAATTTTGGACTAAATCTTCCTGGACACATATCATGTTACTATTTTGTTTTTTTACTCACATAATCTTCCCTTTTTTCTTTTTTTGAGAAAGGAAATGCAAAACAAAAATGCCATACAATGAAAAATCTTTTTCCAAGTCGAGTGGAGAATAGTAAGGAGGCCAAGTCAATGTAGAAACAAATAAATACAAAATCTATTAGAATTAAACCAACTAGTTACACCTGGCTTTGATATTGCTTTGGGGCTTTTTACTGCTGCAAAGAAGTATGAAACAAAACGGTGTATTATGAAAAGAGGGAAGGGTAGAGGGAAATCTTGAGGAAGGAAGGGAGGAGGGCAGATACAGTGTTGAAACTCAAGTAGGAAACAGAGTGACATTTAGCATCGGTTCCATGACTTGCTAACCAGTCAACGCTGATAGATTGTGACCCCACCTGTTAACGAAAAGAGCTGTTGTCTGCTTCCTGTTTAGTCAACTCCTGCTCCCCTAACAGCAAATGAATCTCACATGTACATAGACACAGACTCCCACACAAGCACACTTCCAGACAGCGGGTCATAATTTCCTTCAGTTTTAATTCCAAGAATTGCCACACTGTTAAAGTCTGTCTTCCAAATAAACTTAACCTTCATGTGTAAGTGATTTGACATTACATCTTTTCCTATTAATGAAAAAAAAATTTTTTTCTACAGTCACCCAGCTTCCAAAATAATCCCAGGTATAAAATGTAAATTACATTAAATATTTAAACTATTCTGGACATACCTTAATCCGATAATCCTTTCTTAATTCAGGAAGGGTCTTAAAAGATGGACTGCGATTTATCAACCCAAGAGAGCTGAGACCCAGAATTCAACAATATGCTGTTTTCATGAGTGGCTCCCCTGGTTGGCATGATACCACAAAGCACCGTGGAATGCCAAACACCCAACTCTTTGGATTAAAAGCACAGTAATTCCGTGAAGTTTTTTGTTCTGAGTTGAGAGAATGGTTGTGTAGTGACTCACACTTCTTCAGACTTATCAGAGTAACATATGTCAAGTATTTCATAAAATGATCTTTCTTTCCCTCTGTCCTTCCTCTCTCTCTCTCCCCCTCTCCCTCTGTCTCTCCCTCTCTTTCTCCATCTCTCTCTCAAAGGAAGAATTTAAGGTAATTTGTGAATCTTCCTTCAAACTTAGCTAAAATTTAGCTTTAATCTGACATTAAAAAGATTAAAAAACAAAAACAAAAAAAAAAACCTGACCCTTATGGAGAAATCTGGTCCATAGCTAAAAGGATTTCAGTAGCAAGAAAGGTCCTCTGACTTCAACACTGATCAGATTCCAACCACAGTTCTAGGCATCAGAAGTGGAGAAAGAAGATGTAGTAGGACTTGCCCATGCCTCCTCTCTCCGGTTTCACCTCTTGTTACCCAGCATTGACGGAAGGTTAAGAAGGACTGCAGCCCCCAGGAGCTCTGAGTTTGACTGTCACTGGCCCATGAGCATTCTCTCTTGAGCTGTTTAATCAGACACAGAAGAGTAAGTCTCTGACCTCCGAGTGAAAGGCTCCATGGCTATGTTCTAGACTCAGGGAATAGAATTGAGTGTGAAAATCACTTAGGACACATGATTCACATTTCTTCCCATTTGCCTATTTGTTTAGTCCCTTGTTTCATTCCACAAAGTACTGAATCAGATACTGAGGTAGAAAAGGGGAGAAACTTTATCAATGTAAATTTATGAAATAAAATCAGAAGTCAGAGTGATAAAAAAGGCAGTACAAATACACTAGCCATAAAGTATATGCTATGGCAGACAGAGTCACTTTTGTTCCCGGCCAAAAGAAACTATTATCAGGAATGTTCTTCAGGCTTTTGGTCTGACTGACGTTTTTAAAATTTTAGAACATGAAGAAAATGTAAAAAATTTTAAATAATTTGTAAACCTCTCACAAAGAGATTTAGAACTGCTTACTCTTAGCTTTTCTCTTTCTCTCCCTCTATATATATAAATATAAATTACATTATGTGCATTCTTCCACATCATTAACTATTTTATGCAGAAGTGATTTGTAATGGTCTGAAAAATGTTACCTCATATGGACATATCATAATTATGCTAGACTCCTATTTATTATTAGACATTTTGATTGCTTCTAATAATTTGCTATAATAAATTCATGATGGAGGGCCTTATATATAATCTTTTCAGACATTTCTCATAATTTCCTGAGATATATTCTTATGAGTGGAATTATCAGGACCAATGGTAAAAATTTCTGTGTGGTTCTTTATTTTCAAATCACTTTCTAGAACGTCAGTAGCCATTTTCATTTTAACAATGATTCATAAGAGCACTTTCTCAACATTCTCTTCAAAATAAATTACTATTTTTAAAAATTTCATTAGTTTGATAGGTAGAAAATAGTATTTCATTAGAATTCTTTTCTTCTGATTTCTAATGAAATGGAATACTTTGCTTCTTATACTTGTTAAGGATTTGTTTTCATTTTTAGAGTGTATCAGTTGCTCAGTTATGTCCAACTCTTTAAAGTCTCATGGACTTTAGCCTGCTAGGCTCCTCTGTCCATGGGATTTCCCAGGCAAGAATACTGGAGTGGGTTGCCACTCGCT